CCAGCCTCAGAGTGCACTTACTCGCCAGGATGCGGGGGCTGAGGGCTGGACACCTGATTCTGCTTGGCTTTCTGCTCCATTCTGGCTTCAATTTCCCGTTTCTTCTGAGCAATGAGTTCTTCCTGATGAAGGATGTTCATGTTCATTTTTCCAGACTTGGGAGGAGCAACCCCAAACCACCGGTTAGCCTTTCCTGGGGAGGGAAGAGAAACACATCAGAAATCATCTTTGCGTCACACACATGCCCGGCAGCTGCTACAGGAGCGCCGCAGTGGCTGCTGCTTGTAGCAACGGACATTCCAATTGACATTCATACATATCCACTCGTTCATTTATTCAGCAAACATTTACCGAGCTATATACCAGGTGCTGTGCTAGGTGCTCAACAAGAGAGACAAGGCCTCTGCCGACATGGAACTCAGGTCTGGCTAGGGAGACAATAAACTTGTAACAAAAAAGTAGCTGCAAAATCATGGTAAGAGCTCTCTGCCGGAAACGAAAAAGGATGAGAAGGCATGACAGAGGAGCATCTCTAGCTAGAGCAGCCAGAAAATAACCATTTGAAGAGGAAGCAGTTAAGCTGAAACCATAAAGAGCTTCCTAAAAAGCCACATAGGGAACAATCTGGGCAGGGTAAGGTGCAGATGCAAAAACTAAAAGTTGGATAAAGCTTGGTGCATTCAAGGACCAGCAAGGGTCCAATGTGGCTTGAGCAAGTTGTTCCAGGAATGAGAGTATAAGAAAGGGAGTCTAGATTTTACTTTAAGGTCCTTGGAAAGTGTCAGGGAGTATTAAGCTGATAATATCCAATAGGTATTTTTAATTTTAAAATCATTCTGGCTACTACTTGGAGAGAGTGCGTAGGCAGCAAACAGACCAGCGAGGAGGCTTTCTGGCTCCAAGCAAAAGATGATGTTGTCTTCAGACATGGGCATTGGCTGTGAAGATGGAGAAGACACCTCTAAATTTCCCCATGGGATTCAGAATAAAATCCAAATTCTGAAAGTCAATTTTCAAGGCCCTGCCAGAGATGGCCCCCCCCTTCCCCATCCTTGACTTCCTTCAAAATGGCAAGCCAGTCCCTCCAAGGCCTTTGCACTTGCCACCCCCACCCCCAGCCCCCCTTGGTGTGGAAGGCTCTGCCCCCCAGGCCTCCTTCTCATCTCAAATGTCTTCTACTCAATAAGGCTTTCTTTGGCCACCCAATATCACCAGCCTCCAGCCCCACTCTCTCACATCATAACTCTCTTTGCATAAATAGTTCCTCTTGGTGCATCGTCTGACACCCATTAGAAAGTGATCTTCAGGAAGGCAGGGCCCTGTTTTGATTACCACTGCACCCCCAGCGACCAGCACAGCGCCTAGCACACAGTATTTGCTGAATGGGTGGGCGAGTGTATCCATTCTGGGGCGGCTAGGGCTGGAAGAGATGGAAGGGCAAGGCTTGTGGTCAAGTGGAGGCTCGAAAGACTCGGGAATTTATGTATCCAGGACATGTCTGAGAGCAGTTCAGAAAAACAGCTTTTCCAGAAAGCAGCACACAGGCCAAGAGGCAGCTGCTGCGAAGAGAAGCGCAGGACAGCCCCAAGGTTGCCGCTGTTTGGGGGAGCGGAGCTCGGAAGAGCCCTGAAGGTGGTTTATTTTTCGGAAAGCCGACGCAAGACAGACCCGGTGTCTGCCTTTACGGAGGAAGCCAAGCGTCCTCAGCAAACCAGGCCCAGGGTAGGGGACAGCAACTGGGTCTGAGACCTCGTCAGGCGGGGGAGGTGCAGAACCCGTCGCTTCGGGCCGCCCACAAGCTGAGGGGGAGGACCGGCGGGTTGGGGCAGACTCGGTCAGAGGACGAAGCGGAGACGCGAAGCTCGGAGGACGCAGAGGGGAGCATGAAAGGAGGAGGGGGCTGTTACCTGCAACATCCCGGTTGTCCATCTTGAGACTCCTCCAATCCCACAATGCTCCGGCGCCACCTGAGGAGGCATGCTATAGTGCGCACGGCCTAATGGGAGATGTAGTCCTCATTGGCCAGCCACGCCCTGCCACTGAGGGGACACCTGGGACCTTTCTCGCAGGAACGCAAACCTCGGCCTCTCTGCAAGGTCTGGTCTCAGTCCCACAGACCAGAAGGCGTCGTTTTTTTTCACACTTTCCGGGAGTCGCAGCCACTCCAAATTATAAACTACATGTTCCAGGATGCTTTGTGCGGCAGCTATCGCGAGGGACGCGAAGAGTGTCGGGCCCCGCCCCGTACGCCTGCTTCCGCCTCCCTGTGGTGACGGCTTGTTGTTGTGGAGGCCAAAATGGCGGCTCAGGCGGCGGCAGCGGCCCAGGCGGCCGCGGCCCAGGCGGCGCAGGCCGAAGCGGCCGAGTCATGGTACCTGGCACTTTTGGGCTTCGCCGAGCACTTCCGCACGTCCAGCCCGCCCAAGATCCGCCTGTGTGTGCACTGCCTGCAGGCGGTGTTCCCCTTCAAGCCGCCTCAGCGCATCGAGGCCCGCACGCACCTGCAGCTCGGCTCCGTGCTCTACCACCATACCAAGAACAGCGAACAGGCGCGCAGCCACCTGGAGAAAGCGGTGAGCGCGGGCCGAACCGCGAGGGAGGAGCGCGGGCTCCTTGCGGGGCCTGAACTGACGGGCTGCGACCACGGCAGGCGAGGGCCGCCCATATCGCTCCTCGGGGACCTGGGGTGCGACTTCCCGCCTGGGACGCAGGACCCCTAAGCCGCCACCCTCGCGGGGGGCGTTATTTAACCTCTCTAGTGACAGGGTCCAGGGCCCTGCTCTTCTGAGGAGCCGCAGGGTCCCCAAATTCGTTAGGTTTTCCGGAGTAGACATGCTGGCGCCTTTGGAGACGTCCCCAGATTGCCGGGGAGTCCTGCAGCTTCCAGCTTCTCGGGGCTCAGCCCCAGCATCAGCCTGAGCGCGCCCTCCCGAAGCGGCTCGGGACAGTGCGGGGCCGAGGTGACAGGCCAGCGTCCCTCGGGAATCTGATGTTTGGTCTCTCGGAAAACCCAGGGAAGCATTCTCTCCCGGGACCCGGAAGTCTGATTAGTGTCTAGGGCAGTGGTTCACAACCTTCCTAACGCCGCGACCCTTTCATTCCGTTCCTCATGTTGAAGTGACCCCCAACCGTAAAATTATTTTCGTTGCTACTTCGTAACTGTAACTTTGCTACTGTTATGAATCGTCATGTAAATATCTGATATGCAGGATGTATTTTCATTGTTACACATTGAACATAATTAAAGCATAGTGATTGTGTTTTCCGATGGTCTTAGGCGACCCCTGTGAGAGGGTCGTTCGACCCCCAAAGGGGTCGCGACCCACAGGTTGAGAACCGCTGGTCTAGAGTGTATTGTGCCCCCATTAGTGTTGCGCGGAGTCATGGGTGGGAGGCAGAGGCCCAGAGCCTGGAATTAGTTGTTTGAAGTCCTAGAAGGGGGCGGACGGAGGTGGGTAGCGGGCTGGATTCTAGAACCAGTTTGCTCAGTGGTGGGGGTGGGGGAAGGGGCGCTCCTAGCTCTTGCCTTCTCTGTATTCACCTGGTGACTTCTCTTCCTCCCACCATCCCCTTCAGAGGGCAGGCCTCACCTCCCCCCCTTTTTGTTGTTGTTAATCCTTGCCCGAGGATATTTTCCCCCTCGATTTTTAGAGAGAGTGGAAGAGGGGGGAGAGACACAAAGATGGGTTGCCTCCTGCACTCGCTGGACTGTGGCTGGGATGGAACCTGCAACCCAGGTATGTGCCCTTGATGGGGATTCCAACTCGTGACCCTTCCGGATGCAAGCTGAAGCTCTACTAACTGAGCCACACTGGCCAGGGCGATGCCCTCCCATCTTGACTCATGAGAGACCTTGGTGCCTCAAAGAATCTGGCTGTGACTTCATTTGCCATTTACTCTTTTATTCTGATTGAAGGAGAGACTTCTTGCCTGGTCAGTGTGGCTCAATGGTTGAGCGTGGACCAGGAGGTCATGGATTGATTCCTGGTCAGGGCACATGCCGGGGTTGCGGGTTCAAACCCCAGTAGGGGGCGTGCAGGAGGCAGCTGATCAGGGATTCTCTCATCATTGATGTTTCTATCTCTCTCTCCCTCTCCCTTTCTCTCTGAAATCAATAAAATAATATATTATATATATATATATTATAATAAGATATATACATAGATATTTTTGTTTTTTAAAAGTGAGACTTTTTTGGGCATAGAATATCAAACTTGATGTTTTAAAAATGTTATCTGGATTGCCGAGGACCCCTAAATAACTGGGACCCACCAGGCCATGGGCACAAACGTTACAATTGGATTTTTTGGAGGGGGATTAACCAGAATCTGTTTTTATCTTTGTTTTACTCGGTTGATCATAATCCCATGCACCAAAAGGTGGATGGTTTGATTCTCAGTCAGGGCACATGCCTGGGTTTCAGGCTTGCTCTCTCTCTCTCTCAAATTAATAAAAACATGAAGAAGAAAAAAGAGTCGGAGGGGGACTTTAGTCCTTGCTTGATCAACTTCCTTGTTTCAAGAGCGAGGTGGTAAGGGCCCAGAGAGGTAAAGTGATTGGCCAAAGCCACATGTCAGGTTATTAACAAAGTTGGGTTCAAACCTCGGCTGAAGATCACCAGGTTCCATGCCAAGGCAATAACTTGTTACTGTTTTTGTGAAGTTCTATTCCCAGTTATTCGGCACTTAGTTATTCAGCTCACACCAGGTGCCAAGCTCCCTTCTAGGTGCTAGGGATCAGCAATAACTAAAGCAGTGCCTGCCCACATAAGTTTAGGTTTTAGTGAGGGAGACAAATACTGAATATGTAGTAAGAGGTTAGGCAGTAATGAAAGAATCATGAAAAATATGGGCCACGGAGAAAAGATGGAGTTGACAAGGAGCTTTTTTTTTAATTGATTTTTTTAGGGAGAGAGAGAGACATCAGTTTGTTATTCCACTTATTTGTGTATTCGCTGGTTAATTCTTGTATGTGCCCTGACTCTTGTATGTGCCCTGACTCTTGTATGTGCCCTGACTGGGGATCGAACCCGCACCCTTGATGTATCGGACGATGCTCTAACCAACTGAGCTATCGGCCAGGGCTAAGCCCTTATCCTTGTGAAGTGGTTTCCCTGGATTTTACAGAACCCTGAATCTTGTGGGATCTTTCACAGAGACACGAGGTCCACTCTGTAGCTCACACTGACATTATACCTGGAAATCCCTTTCTTTCTGTCAGTTGCATTCCCAGCTGAGAATTTGTTCAGGTTGCAATTTAAGTGCAGTTCTCCGTGCTGTTTTTCTTCTGCAATTGTTTGTGATCTCCTTTTGTGTTGCATGCTTTTTAAAATTGTTATTCTTTATCAGTTGTTCATTTTTCCCAAATCAGGCAGCTATCAACTTTTATTCTTTCCTTTCCCAGACTCACACAATAAAGAATCATAATATGGGCTCCTTTTATTTAGTTAGTTTTAACTTTTATTGATTTTAGAGAGGAAGGGAGAGAGAGAAAGAGAGAGAGCGAGAGAGAGAGAGAGAGAGAAACATTGATTTGTTGTTCATTTATTTATGCATTTATTGGATGATTCTTGTATGTGCTCAGACCAGGGATTGAACCCACAACCTAAAGACACTAACCAACTAACCTATCCAACCAGGGCCAGTATGTTCTCCTTTTATTTTATTTTTGTTAATTCTTACCCCAGGATATTTTTCCATTGATTTTTAGACAGAGTGAAGGGAGGGGTAGAAACAGAGAGAAACATTGATGTGAGAGCACAACATTGATCGGGTGCCTCCCGTATGCCCCTCACTAGGGACCAAGACCACAACCCAGGTATGTGCACTTGACTGAGAATTGAACGGCAACCTCCTGGTGCAAGGGATGACACCCAGCCAACTGATTCACACTGGCCTGTGCAGAAATCTCTTGACTAGAGAATTTGCGAGGCTCTTTGCACTGTTTCTGTCAGATTGTGTTCCTTTACATTTCATTTTCACCGTATTATCTTTCCTCCTGCTACACATTTATTCTTGTGTGAATATTCAGTCTTCCTTATTTTCATACAAACAAACAGGTCCATTTCAGTAATTTGCACATTCCCCCCTTAACTTTCTTTTTATCACATTTCACTTTATCCCTTGGCCTGGGAAGTACATCATCATCTTAGACTTTCCTGATTTAAGAGCCACAGAGAAATAAATGCTATTCTGGAGTTTTTTATTTGCTATCCAGGCAGTCATTCTATATACAGTGGTTTCTCTGACTGCAGTATCCATGTCAAGGCTGTGTTTACATTCTTTTTGCTTTTGGAATAGAGCTGCTTTTTAGTGGTGATTTGCTCATCTGACTTAGAGAACAGCTCCAAACTCTGCCGTCCAGACACTTGTTAATTCCGTTTCCAGGTTTAGCCTGACAGTCTCTGGTTTACCTTCCCAGCAAGTAATTATATGCTTCCCTTCCTCTTTTTAAGGCCTGAAAGGGCTCAGTGGTGAGTCCTTCATCATCAGGCACAGCTAGAGCAGATGTGTCATTCTTCAGGATCATGACTGTGTCCTGCTAAGTTCCATGCCCCATTGACCAGGAGCAGAACCTTGTGCAGAAGCTGCATTTATAGAGCTTGGTGTTAGCCTTTTCATGAAAGGGTGATCTGTGCTTCCTCCTGTTTTCATTTTCATTTTTCTTCACTCTCACTCTCTGAGTCTCCTCTGACATCAGGATTTGAAATCTGTTTAGGAACCACCACTTCAGTTTCACCAACTCGCCCCTTGCCTCCCTTCCAACCCCAATTCTTCTGGTTCCTGCCTGGGAATTACCATAGTATTTTTGACGCCTTCTACATGCCAGACCATGCATTCATGCTTCTTGGGACACTGTCTTATAGTATCCTCAACAAACCTACAAGGTGGAGACCACTTCCGACTTGCTGCTGACAGGGAGATGCTCGTAAACATGGTCACACAGCAGAAAGAGACAAGGCTGGCTCCTAAGTGTTGTGCTTCCATCCCAAAGGTGTTGCAGTTGATAACTATTTCTATACATTTTAGTTATTAAAAACCTGATCTTTTAAAAAAAAAATGTTACCTTGGTTTTGAGGTACAAAGAAGTCTTGGAATGCTCTCCGGCCCTGGATTAAATTCTCCGAGCACGATAAGTGTGCTGATCTGGCACTTCCACCTCTCAGGATGTATATTGGCCCTGCAGTGACCCTGCTTTCCCTGAGAACCCGAAGGTGGCCCCAGGGACTTCTGGGAGGGTTGTTCACATCCTGCCCTGTGCCTACAGGCTTCCCCACAGCTCAGGGCCATTCACTTTGGCTGCTTTCCCATCACGAGAAAGGAAACATAAAAGCTGTTTTTTAATGTTAAGGTTGCAACTTTGGGGAAGGTAGCAACCTTGGTACTTTATTTGTGAGATGCATGTATTTCTGATGTCTGTATATTTCTGATTTGTGATTTTAGGTCACAAGTGTTAAAAAGAAACAAAAGCAAAGCCATTTGATTGGCGTCTGAGGAAGTTACTGGCTTGCCCTGACACTGAGCCAGTTCTTTAGCTTCTAGCTTTGGTACTGGGTCATCATAGGGGATGTCTCAAGGTGTCAGTGATGCTGATGCCTGGGCACAACGCAGTAATGTTTGAAGGGAGCTGTCTGATGCCAGTGGGAGTTAGTATTTTAAATACGTCAGTCTCAGCCCTGTGGCCATTTGCACATAAGGAAGCTCTCATTTCCTGGTGATGCTAGGTGAACTTGTCGTTCATGTGACAAATGTTTTCCAGGTACCTCCTGTGTGTTGACCTGTTCCGGGAACTGGGGACATAGCACCATGAGGAAGCACATCATAAGTCTTTATCTAACATCCCCCATTTGTGTGTGTTTCAAGTGCCGGCCACAGCGCATGCATGAGAGCATGGAAGCAGGTTGTAGCCCTGGGATCAGATGCTAAGGGCAACTAGGATCCATGTGGGTCCACACCTTTAATCCCTTCCTCTTGTGTGTGTCCATGTTCTCGTTATCCACTCTGTACTCTTCCTAGAGGGCTCCTCTTCAGCACAGAGGCCTTGCCTGAGGTAGATCTTGCACATGGAGACTGAGGTGCAGGACCACAGAATCTTAGGGTTGGGCCAGATCTCAACATGTCCCTAATCCAGCTCTTCAGTTACACAGTCTCCTACACAGCATTCCATCCTTCCTCCCAATTGGTGGTCTTCAGGAGCTTCTGTTGCTGGACTGCCCTTCCCCCTGGGGAGGAGTGGCTTCTGTAGAAAGCAAGCCCCAACTTTCATGTTTATCACTTTATTTATTTATTTATTTATTTATTTATTTATTTATTTATTTTTCATGTTTACCACTTTATGATAGCACACACATGTGGCTTGAGCTGGACCCATCCCCACTGTCCCTGTAGACAGCCTCCAGCTGAGGAGCCCCATCTCTGGGACTGTACTCCTGGCAGCAGGCACTGGCCCTGCCTTCTGGGGACCCTGAGCCCCTGCTGACCCTGCTGCAGTGCGGCTTTGGGAGAGGACATTCGGGCTGGCTGCATAGTGCCTTTTGCTTGGGCTCTGCAAGCATATGTGTGCTTGTGTGTGTGCATCTGCACATGTGCTTGTGTGCATATGCGAGAGTCAGGAGCCCAGTGGCCCTGAGTGCTCTGTGTTCCTCTCCCACAGCTCCCTCTCCTGGCCCACCTGTGTCTTTCAGGCAGCTGGTCAGGGGTGCAGCTCCAAGTCTTTCCCAACCTCTTTTGTGACTTCCTCCTTCCCACTCACTCTTGCCCCAAAGGCATTTCCAGCCCCAAGGCTGTCTGCCAGGCTTTACTAGCACCTCCCTCTGCTCACGTTCCCAGCCAGCAAACTCTCTGGCTCCTCCTCCTCCCTCTGCATTCTCTTTGCTGCATCTAGGATCTCTCAGATCTCATTGGGTCAGGCTCCATAGATGACACCAGGGCATTCAGATCCACAATCACTGCTACCAGTGAGTGGCACATACACCTTCCAGCCTTTTTACAGGTTCTTCTCTGCCAAGAGCACTTCCTACTCCCCCTTTACCTGGGAATACACACACACACAGCCCCAGACCTGCCCCCCACCTCCCTCACCCCATGCTGTTCTTTCACAGAGCATGGCAAGTCAGGGTCTTCCGTTCAGCCCCAGATTTGCCTTCCAGAACCTACCAGAACTCTGAGAACATTTGCGGGACAAGTGTCAGATGAATGCTTGAGTCCTAGATGGTCTGACAAACTGTGGTTAGTGGGTGGACGGTCCTGGCACCTAACTACCTCCTGTAGGAATGTGGAGCTCCAGGGCACAGCAGTCCCCAAGTGGGAGCATGTTATTGTCTGAACCATGTCCTGCATGTGTGCCAGCAAAGGGACTATGAGCCCAGGTCTCAGAATCATCTCTGCTACCCCTTGGCCAGGTTGCTGCCCTCACAAGTCCTTCCTGGAGCTCTCCTCCCTCCCCTCTAAGGCTAACTGCTCATCTCCAAGCATCTTTTAAATGCAACTTCTTCAATAAGGATTGACACCCCCAGACTCGCTCTCCAGTTGTAATTGAATTCTCATGTTATGATTTGCTGTTGAGGAACTGCAGTGAGTGGCACGTAAGGACCCCTCTGCATTCCTTCCCCTTCTGAAGCAATTGTGGCTCTGGTGCAGTGGTTCTCAACCTTCTGACCCTTTAAATACAGTTCCTCATGTTGTGACCCCCAACCATAAAATTATTTTCGTTGCTACTTCATAACTAATTTTGCTACTGTCATGAATTGTAATGTAAATATCTGATTTGCAGGATGGTCTTAGGCAACCCCTGTGAAAGGGTCGTTCTACCCCCAAAGGGGTTGCGACCCACAGGTTGAGAACCCCTACTCTAGTGGGAGGGGCTCTGACTCAGACTCACGTGCCTGGTGGGACAGGAAGCACCCTGTCAGTAAGGGAGAAAATGCTTGTTTCCCTCTTCCACAGGCATGCTGTGGTTGCTGGATGAGAAGGAAAATGAGCCTATAGGCCACCTTTCCGCTTATCTGAGCACCTGTAGTCTTTGTGACAGGACAACCCGTATAAACCCCAAAGCCAGAGCTAGTGAGTATGTGCCACACATTTGGCTGAGAATTAATACTTTTTTTATTTCTCTTTCAGTGGTTGATATCACAGCAAGTATCCTTTTCTTTGTACTGTTTCCTTTAAGAAATGCTTTGTTTTAATAAAAAGGATGTGTTATAAACTTGAATTCTCACTATGATATATACCCATGGGTTTAGGTCTTGGAGAATCCCTGCTCAGCCGTATCTTTCCCTTCAGACCAGTGGCCTCACCATGGGTGCCATGGTCCTCTGCAAGCCTAGCATCTAGTTCAGTGATGGCGAACCTTTTGAGCTCGGCGTGTCAGCATTTTGAAAAACCCTAACTTAACTCTGGTGCTGTGTCACATATAGAAATTTTTTGATATTTGCAACCATAGTAAAACAAAGATTTATATTTTTGATATTTATTTTATATATTTAAATGCCATTTAACAAAGAAAAATCAACCAAAAAAATGAGTTCAGGTGTCTCCTCTGACACGCGTGTCATAAGTTCGCCATCACTGATCTAGTTCCACACCTAGGCAGCAGCAAGCTCAGGGATTGCTGGGAAATACATGAACTTAGAGTTTCAGAGTAGGTGGGAACATACCTGACTGGCGAACCTCCCCAGTGTAAGAACCCCACACATTATTTTTTTTAACAATATTTATTTTATATATATATATATATGTTACTGATATCAGAAAGGAAGGAAGAGGGAGAGAGAGATAGAAACATCAATGATGAGAGAGAATCATTGATCAGCTGCCTCCTGCACTCTCCCTACTGGGGATTGAGCCCACAGCCTAGGCATGTGCCCTCGACAGGAATCGAACCTGTGACCTTCAGTCCACAGGCTGATGCTCTCTCCACTGAGCCAAATTGGTTAGGGCACACATTATCTCTTTTTAAACTGACCTTTTTGCAGCATCTGTACTTCCTTAACCAGATGTCACTAGATCCCACAGTTTGAAGATGTTAAATTTGAAGCAGCAAGTCTTTTGTCTGAATTGTACTGTCAAGAGGTAAGAGCCTATGGAGGTTTCTGAAAGCGGGGTCTCCCTGTAATGACGGCACAGTGGCAAATTGATGCTCTCAGGAGTGGACTGACTTCCTCTTGGCTTTCTTATTTATTGTAATCATCACCCAAGGATATGTTTTTATTGACTTTAGAGAAGGGGGTGGGAAGAGAAACATTGATCTGTTGCCTCCTGTACACACCCAGCAGGTGATTGAACTTGCAACCTGACCAGGAATCAAACCCGCAACCTTTGGTGTACAGGAAGATGCTCCAGCTAACAGTCACCTCGCTGGGGCTTTTTGTTCTGTTTTTTCTTCTGACTTCCTCCTGGCTTTTAATGCTTCCCCGTTACTTTCCTACCTTGGTGGTTGTGGGTGATCACTTGCTCATGAGAGCCAACAGAATATTTTTCTAAGACTTCCAGAGACTTGGAAAACAGCCTTGTTCCTAGGCTGAAGATAATTGGTCCATATAGTTTATCTTCGTCATGTGTTTCCTGATCTCAGGTGTAGCTGAAAATCGCCTTTCCCCACGTCGAGCTGTTAACAGCCTGTGAGGCTCCCTGGGTAACAGGGAGTGCATGCTTCACACCCCTGGCCCATCTCTTGTAGTATAAGAAAGACGGCAGTTGTCATCCAGTTGACTGTTCAGGATTTTGAACTAAAGCTACTTTCAGTTTAGTTGAATGAGTTATTTTATGATCAGTGCAAAAACCTCCCAGCCAGTGAGTCCAATAAAATGTCTTTTCTTGCCCAGCTGGTATGGCTCAGTGGTTGAGCATCAATTCATGAACCAGGAGGTCATGGTTCAATTCCCAGTCAGGGCACATTCCCCATTTGCCAGCTTGATTCCCAGTAGGGCAGTGGTTCTCAATCTTCCTAATGCCGCGACCCTTTAATACAGTTCCTCATGTTGTGGTGACCCCCAATTTCATTGTTACAAATTGAACATGATTAAAGCATAGTGATTAATCACAAAAACAATATGTAATTATATATGTGTTTTCCGATGGTCTTAGGCAGCCCCTGTGAAAGGGTTGTTTGACCCCCAATGGGGTCGCGACCCACAGCTTGAGAACCGCTGCAGTAAGGGGTGTGCAGGGGGCAGCCAATCAATGATTCTCATCATTGATGTTTCTATCTCTTCTTCTCTCTCTCTCTGAAATAAATAAAAACAAATTTTTTTTAAAATAAAATATCTTCTTCCTCTTCTTGCTAATTTTGCGATTTCTTGGTGTCCTGGTGCGTGGGATGACGCTCAACCAACTGAGCCACACTGGCCAGGCTTTTCTTTTTTTAATTATTGATTTTTAGAGAAAGAAAGGGAGAGGGAGAGAAAGAGAGAAACATTGATGTGAGAGCACACTGATTGGCTGCCTCCTACATACCTCCCACCAGAGATCAAGCCCATAACCCAGGCATATGCCCTGGACCAGAAATTGAACTGGCAGCTCCTGGTGCATGGGATAATGCCCAGCCAATTGAGCCACACTGGCCAGGGCTCTTTTCTTCTTTTAATAAAGTAAATCAGAATCCCACAAATCCATTTGTGAGTATGAATGGGAGTGGTCTTCTGGCATCCCAGCATAAGGAATACAGCTTGCCTGCCAGCTTATTTCTTTTCTTTCCCCAAATGTGACTGTTTCCTTTCAGAACTCTGTTGATGCAGCAAAGCCACTGTTGCGGAAAGCGATCCAGATATCGCAGCAGACCCCATACTGGCACTGCCGCCTGCTCTTCCAGCTTGCTGTGAGTACTTTGGGGCCTGGCCAAGACATGGGTGCTGAAATTGGGGCACACCCACCTTCAGAACACACAGGCCTTCCTCAGGCTGCTGCACCGAGACAATGGGGACACAGGGATGGTCTTTTAGGCTGCTCACAAGTCCCTTTCAGACTCTGACTTCAGCAGTATCCCCAGCACAGGTCTTTCATTCAGCATCAAGGGTGATTGCATTCCCCTCTCTTCTGGTGCTCCCTTTTGCCTGTACTCATTTAAATTTTGGAAACATTTCTTGCCAGAAGCCCATCATGTTTTTTAAGAGCTGTGCTGAGATTCCAAGGGTCTGCCTGTTGGGCAAAGAATGCCTGTTCGAGTTAAGCCTTTGCAGGGCTGCTGGGGCACAGCCTCATCTGGGCTCTACGTGGTCGTCCCTTCTCCCCCACAACCTCCCTTCAGCTCTCCAGACATAGTGGTGGCCTGGTCCCGGTGCTTTGAGATGCTTAGGTAGAGGGAGCTCTCTGGACTAGGTCTTCCTGGCTGTAGTGACTGGGCCTAAAGGCTCCCTGTGGGGGGTGCCTCTCTCCTGGGCACTGCCCACATTTCCCTCTCACTGCTGGCCTCTAGCCTTTCCTGTCCGTGACCCAGCCTGCCCTCTACACTGCCTCTTGCCTATCATCTTCCATGACACAGTTCCATCACCTGCCTGTGTGTGCAGGGTGTGGGCCCTCGGCTGGAATTGCGTTTTCTTCCCCCCATCCCCCAAGAGTCCCTCATCCCAGAAGGGCGTGGCTCAGGGTCCCTGCTGGAAAAGCTTGTCCAGCCAGCGCTCCTGAGCTCTTCCTCCCTGGCCTGCTGCTGTCCCACATAGCATTGTCTCCTTTAATCCTCCCATGTCTGCTTTGCCCATTGGCACATAATATGTGGGCCAGGCAGTGAGACACCTGCCTCAGGTCACAGTTACAGGATGCTTCATGCACTTGGGAGCCCAAGCTCAGCTGAGGCCCCACAGGTGTCCCTTCCTTTTAGCTTAAGGCTTCTGGGTTTAAACTCCCGCAGACACTTGCCCCTGAAGTAGTTCTTCCTTGTTTGGGGTTCCTTTGGCTCCTCCCTAGTGACTGGCCCCCGAAGGTGACCTTTGAAGCACAGAGATACGCTCGTGTAGCCCTGGGGGTCTATGCCTGTGAATATTAATAGCTGGCTCTATGCACTATTAAGTTTAGATGATGTACACACTGTAGGCAGAGTAGACTTCTGTACCTAAAGCAGTTAACATTGATGAGAGTATTTGGTTAATTTAACTCAAAACTGACACTGAGGCAATTTTGTTGACAAGTGGGGAGGTTCACTTTAACTTGCCAACAAAGCTTTAAGGTCAGATACTGGGTATTATAAAGCAAGAGATTCGGAAGCAAGGATTATTATTCTCTCTCCTTTTTAGCAACTGCACACACTTGAGAAGGACCTGGTGTCAGCCTGCGACCTCCTAGGTGTGGGAGCTGAATATGCACGGGTGGTGGGATCCGAGTACACACGGTAGGCACCCTCTCCCCACACTCCTCCCCTCTTACTTGGAAAGAGCTCAGCTATTTGATCCTGGCATTTCAGCATGAAACAGCAGTCATCTGCACACATAGTAAGAGATGTACAAATTAAAGCACCACAGAATGCCTTTTACTCCATCAATTCACCCTGTTAATTCATGAAGTTGGAGAGTTGATTGTGAGGGTGAGGGGCAGCTGGCATTCTCGGCGCAATTGGCATTTACACATATCTAGTATCTTGAAATAAAAAGTGCTTATACGATTTATTGGGCCAATCCCCTTTTTGGTGCAGATATGAAAGTGATGCCTGCAGAGGGTGTAACTAGCATGCTTGTCAGCACCTACGGTAAGTAACTCCAGTGTCCCTCTCAGGATGCCCAAGAGCTTTTAGATGCACAACAACAGACACAGTAAGCTGAGTAAGCAGAAGTTTGTATAAAAGAAGGGTGGCTCAGTTGGTTGGAGTGTTGTCCCAAGCACTGAAAGGTGGCAGGTTCGATTCCCAATCAGGGCAAATACCCAGTGGGTTTGATCCCTGGTTGAGGTTCGTGTGGGAGATAGCCAGTTGATGTTTCTTACATCATTGTTTCTCTTTCAAATCAATTTTTTAAAAATTAAAAATAAATAAAAAAGGAAAATAGCCATGACCCAAGTTCAGTTGGTTAGAGCGTTGTCCCAATATGCCAGGGTTGCAGGTTTGATCATCAATCAGGGCATATATAAGAATCAACAAATGCATGCATAGTAAGTGGAACAACAAATCAATGTTTCTCTCTCCCTTCCTCTTTAAAATCAATCTATCTATCCATATATATATATATATATATATATGTAAAAGGCTAATATACCAAGTGTCCCCTTGGGAGTTCGACCTGGAGACTAGGAGTTTGATCGCTTGCTATGATGTGCGCTGACCACTAGGGGGTGATGTGGAACGAAGGAAGACCTCTATCGGCCCTGATCTCCTGCCAGACCTAGGGACCCTACCTGTGCACAAATTTTGTGCACTGGGCCTCTAGTTTAAAATAAAAAGGGAGCCGAAACCGGTTTGGCTCAGTGGATAGAGCGTCAGCCTGCGGACTGAAAGGTCCCAGGTTCGATTCCGGTCAAGGGCATGTATCTGGGTTGCGGGCACATCCCCAGTGGGAGATGTGCAGGAGGCAGCTGATCGATGTTTCTCTCTCATCGATGTTTCTAACTTTCTATCTCTCTCCCTTCCTCTCCGTAAAAAATCAATAAAATATATTTAAAAAAATAATAATAAAAAATAAAAAGGGAGACAAAGATTCATGTTACGCATGAAACTGCTTAAACCATCTGGAGACTTTTACCCTAGGGTTGGGTGTCAGGGTTAGAGGCCTTAGGAACTTCACTGTGTATCTCTGTGAAGGCCTCTAGTCTCTCTTTTTTTCCCCCAAAGAGAAAAATTCTGTGCACTTGTCAGACTCCAGGCAGCAGTGCTCTTATTCTGTTGTGTGCTTTGAGGTTCTGGAAAGTTCTTTCTTACAGAGCTGAGCTTATCCCATGGAGCTCTTGGGACAGAATAGTCCCAAACTCTGTTCTCTGAGCTCTGGCTCATGTGGCCCATGTGGAGCCATTACAGCTTTCCATAGGCTGTCCTCATCCCTCAGCCACCCTGCCCGGAGATGGCAGCTGTTACACTCTCTGGCCTCACATTCCTGGCCCCCTTAATGTTGGCGGCTGCCACTGGGTCCATGGTGACACACTGCAGCGTACAGGGACCGCTAGACAGCAGATGTTCCCACGAGTACACACATGAGTACCCCAGGCAGGCTCTGTGCCCCTGTGGATGGACAACTTAGGTGGCCTCCACCAGGGCACAGAGCCTGCAGGTCCCCTGGCTCAGAACCCCTGACCATTGATGTAGGGCCTACATCAAGTGCTTCCTATGTGACAACATGGGAACCTTGATGTGAAGTTCCAAGCCTTCTTTCAACAGTTGATCAGCTGGCAGATAGACTTAAACGAGTTCACACCTTGAGGTAACAATAGGGAAGAACTTGGTGGCCTGGAGTAAAAACATCTTGTGAGTGTGACCTCGCCACTTTAGTCTCCTCAGTTGTAAAACAGAGAACGCGCCCATTTGATGGAGTGTTGGCCACAGCACTTAGGGCTCTGCCAAGGCTGGTGGGGCAGAGGCTGAGAGTGAATAAACGGGGCTGTGGGCTCTGAATGACCACAGCTGTTCCTGAGGCAGCAGCTGTCTCCCCTGTTGTTTTGGCTGTTTCCTAAACTTTTTAGCATGCTCATTTTATTATTTTTGTTGACAACCATGCACACATATTTAGAAAATGCTGAAAGGTCTAAGAGAAACAATAGAAATTTAGCCATGCTGACTCTTGTGAGTAAAGACAGTGGGTAGTGAGACTGCTGACATGTCTGGAGCTCCCCAAGTTCACCTCCTTAACACTCAGGAGAATTGGGGGGCTTGGCCGGTCACAGGTGAGGAAGGGGAAGTATGGAAGGGCCACAGTGAGACTTGGCTTTGGGTTCAAACACCAAATCCTGCCCACTCTCCCCATACCCTATGCCAGTGATGGCGAACCTATGACATGCGTGTCAGAGGTGGACACATGAACTCATTTTTTTGGTTGATTTTTTTTGTTAAATGGCATTTAAATATATAAAATAAATATCAAAAATATAAATCTTTGTTTTACTATGGTTGCAAATATCAAAAAATTTCTATATGTGACACGGCACCAGAGTTAAGTTAGGGTTTTTCAAAATGCTGACACGCCGAGCTCAAAAGGTTCGCCATCACTGCCCTATGCTGCCTACCAATGTTGTGTGAGCAAAAGTGAGATTGTGGCAAGCACACTGTCTTGTACCTTACCCCTCTGTGATTTCTGAGCATCTGTCTATCCTTCTGGGCTTTTGAGCCATATGAGTGTCTAAATTAGGCCAAAAACATAAAGTAAGATTGAATAGAACAAAGTAGAGCATTCTGATAACTAAAACCAGCCTCATTGGGGGTCACTGGGGGCCCTGTCATCTGCTTAACCATCCCCTGAGCTTGCTTGTTGGTCCCTATGAATGTTGGGGTGGCAGGCATCCCAGGAGACACACCTGGGCCTCACAGACTGACTCCCCTCTCTGTTTTCTAGGGCGCTGTTCCTGCTCAGCAAAGGGATGGTAAGTTGAGGCTGAGCAGAATGGTGTAGGTGTGGTGGACATGAGGCAGGGCTCCTGCTCACTGTGGTGCAGCCCTTTGGGCACCCAGACACTTAAACACTACAGGCAGCCACCAGAGTGAGGCCCCATGCACCAGATGGGTTCAGAGGTGAAATTCAGGTTCCAGGTTGTGCGATTTGTGCTGAGGAAGGAACAGCCTAGATGTGGGTTCCAGCCCAGCTTTTTGTCTTCCCTGCATGGTTCCAGCAGTCCCCCAGTGGGTGGGCAAGCAGATGGTGGCCCTGTGCACTGGGAGGGCCCTCAGCACCTATGCCTCTCCCTTCCCAGCTGCTGCTGATGGAGCGCAAGTTGCAGGAAGTCCATCCACTGCTGACCCTCTGTGGACAGATCGTCGAGAACTGGCAGGGAAATCCTATCCAGAAGGAGTCTTTACGTGTCTTCTTCCTAGTGCTCCAGGTGACACACTACCTGGATGCAGGGCAGGTGCGTAGTGCCTCCCACAGTAGGGCTGCTGGGGAGCAGGTGGGCGATGGGATGGGCAGGGCTTGGGCTGAGATACCCACTCTGTTGTTGCCTCATGTCCCTCACCACAAAGTGCATCTCATTCAAGGTTTAGCTCCCCCACATACCCTGTTGTGCTCTGGCATGAGTCCTGTGCCCCTGAGGGCAGAGGGTACTCTGACAATGGCCTGTCCTCGTGGTGGGAGTAGTCATGGCCTCACACAATTCCATGATGATAAACTGAGGATTCTGGCAAGGTGCCTGACACATCGGGTACTAAAGCAGTGTCTGGTCCCCCCCTCCCCCCCCCCCCCAGCTGATGAGAACTTTGTGAGGTTCAAGTAGGGGATGACAGAATCACTTGCTTCTGAGAGTTGACTATAATTCCGTGTAGTTGAGGAGAGGCTGTGCCCCCTGTGGGTCAATATGCTCACCCTTTGGGAGTATTGCCCCACCTATTCACCCCACCCTGTCCCACTGACTCACCACAGGCCTGGCCTCAAATCCTAGGAGGCTGCAGGTGGAGCCCCAGAAAACATCAGGTCTTTCATTGGTAAGGGACTGTCTCAGATTCCTCACCTATGCGTACATTTACCTGTTGGGCCAAGTGCTGCACTCAATACATAGAAACACAGAGCAGACTCATGGGGTGCTCTGGACATGTCCTATGGGGCCTTGGGACAGGGCTTCCCAGTGCCCAGAGGCCAGTTCATATGAGGCACAGCACCTGTAGGACTCCTGGGCCCAGGAAGCTACTTCTTGCCCCCAAGGATGACTACTAACTGCCCCAGCCCTATTGTGTTCTCTCAGGGTCACTGCAGGAAGTAGGAAACAGCTCATGCAGGGTCTTTGGACAGGCCTCTCCTGGTCCTTGGTGTTTGGACCCAGCACTGGGCGGTGGCTGAGCCTTAGTCCCACAGATGACCCTCTGACCCTGACCCCCACCCTGAGAGCCTACTGACCCATTTGGGGGCAGGCTTCCTGCAGGTGTGGGTGTGGTGGGAGCTCCTGGGAAGAAGGGACTGGTGAGCTGGCACCTATTGGGAGCAGACAGGTACTCAGGTGTGCAGTATCGCCCACTCACTGCAGGTGAAGAGTGTGAAGCCATGCCTGAAGCAGCTGCAACAGTGCATTCAGACCATCTCCACTCTGCATGACGATGAGATTTTGCCCAGCAACCCCGCTGACCTCTTCCACTGGCTGCCCAAGGAGCACATGTGTGTGCTTGTCTACTTGGTGAGTCCCCAGGGCCAAGGCCAGGGACCAGGTGGGTGAGGAGAGGACCCTACTGACCACCACCGTCTGGTCTTATCACCAGGTGACTGTGATGCACTCCATGCAGGCTGGCTACCTGGAGAAGGCGCAGAAATACACAGACAAGGCACTCATGCAGCTGGAGAAGCTCAAGAGTACGTTGGGCTGGGTGGGTCACATGGCCATTGTGCCGCTTGGTCTGTGGCCTGGCCACTGCCTCATGCTGGGCCTGAGAACCCTGTAGAACCGCAGTGCCAAGCAGTCTCCATGAATCCCATGGGTCTTGTTACTCTAATTGGCAGATGAGAGTGACGGGTCAGGACAGAGCAGGCGGGCCTAGGCTTGACCTTTTATCCTTGGCTAAGGGTCTTGTGCCATCTCATCCTGTCCACCCCACTACACAAGACAGCTGTGATAGTTAGCTGATCCCACCCGAGTCTGCCGAGACAACGGTGCTCCATTGAAATGGGGTCTGCTGTTACCCATGTTGTGACATGGACTGTGCTCAGCCTGAGGCTGGGATCTGAATTTGGCTCTTGCTGACAGCAGATGGCCTAGAGGTTGTGGGTTCTTCCTGGATGCTTGACTAATCTATCCTGTGGGACCAGGGACCTTTGACTAGCAGGAACCCAGAGCTCTGACTCAGTGTCCCCATTTAACCTGCTCACCCAGTCTCTGTACCCTTTGTCAGCACTGCTGGAGGAGAAGCCGTTAGCCAAAGATACAAAGCCCTCAGGGATCATAGTTCATTCCCTCTGGCCAAGTTGGGGAAGGTCTCCGCTGTCTAGTTCCAAAGTGAGGATAGCCACTTGGGGCAGCCAGGAATCAGGTCTCTCCGCTGCTGCCTGAGGTGGTCACACAGTATCATTCTCCTGGGCAGCGTCAACCCACTGTGTCTGGAGTGTTCTTGAGCACCCAACTGGGTTGTGGTGGGTCAGAGTGGAAAACAAGCCCCTCCAGGGATTTCTTACTCTTAGAAAACTCTAGTCACCAGAAACTGCTATGAGCCCATCTCCTTCCCCACCTGAACAGGTCGGTAAACCCAGCATTCTAGGGTGCAGTGGGCATGAATAAAGTGACAGGCTAGGTCAGTGCTGGCGAACCTTTTGAGCTCGGTGTGTCAGCATTTTGAAAAACCCTAACTTAACTCTGGTGCCGTGTCACATACAGAAATATTTTGATATTTGCAACCATAGTAAAACAGACTTATATTTTTGATATTTATTTTATATATTTAAATGCCATTTAACAAAGAAAAATCAACCAAAAAAATGAGTTCGTGTGTCACCTCTGACACACATGTCATAGTTTCGCCATCACTGGGCTAGGTGTTGGCGTGGTACCCAGCAGAACAAGTAGGCTCAGACCTGGTAGCCAGTGGGTCAGTATGGTAGGAGGTTGGACCAGGGGTCAGCATCTTCTCAGCTTCTCTAGCTGCATCCTGAATGTTCATCCCCTTCTCACCTCCAGTGCTCGACTGCAGCCCCATCCTATCCTCCTTCCAAGTGATCCTGCTTGAGCACATCATCATGTGCAGGCTTGTCACAGGACATAAGGCCACCGCACTACAGGAGGTGAGGCTGCTGGGGATGGGAGGGCGGGGAAGGTGGTTGGAGTTGCCGAATTCCAGAAGTTATCACAGGAGAATATACATTTGCCCGTGCACATCAGCAAGGCATTTGTCTGTGTCAATTCACTATAACTTGGCAGTTGGTGACCCTACATGGGCACAATTGATCAGACATCTGGTACAGAAATCAGTGGCCCTTTCCCTAAAAGCTGGGCAATTTCTAGAAGTGCCCAAGGAAGATGGAGCTCTCCTTGCTGCATGTAACTCCTACTTACCAACTTCTTGAGAGGGCACAGGCCCTTGAGCAGGGCAAAGGTGCTGACAACTGAGACAGGTTGGAAATGGGGGAGAAGGCAGGTCACAGACGGATCACTGTCTTCAAGGAGGTTAGGGCTGCCCTTTGCCCCACAGTGGACACACCCACCAGAACTTTATACCCCAGGTGAGGGCAGGCAGGGTGTGGGCACTGGGTCCCAGGTTACAGGTCCTGTGACGTTGGGCATGTTCTCTCGGCAGATCTCACAGGTCTGCCAGTTGTGCCAACAGTCACCCCGGCTCTTCTCCAATCACGCTGCACAGCTGCACACGCTGCTGGTGAGTATGCAGGACTGCCTGCCCCAGCCCCATTCCAGTGAGTAACCCCATGACAATCACCCCAGTGGACTTCATTCTATCAGACACCTTAAGTCCAAGTTGACTTAGGTCCCAGGAGAAGGGAGTAACCCAGCATGCTGTCTCTTTCTGCCCCCTCACCAGGGCAAAAGCTCAGGTGTACCTGGCTCATAAGTCACTGGTCAGGCTCGTCTATGTGTAGCCATACGGTCCTGGGCAAGTGGCAAGGCCTCAAGTCCTCAGTGCCTCCTTCTTCCTGCAGGGCCTGTACTGTGTCTCCGTCAACTGCATGGACAACGCAGAAGCCCAATTCACCACAGCCCTGCGGGTAAGGTGCTGGCCCTCTCTGCATGGGGCAGGCAGTGCTTCTTAGTAAGGAGTCAGGTATGGGCTGTGATGAGGACAACAGCCGCAGAGGCCACCTGCTGCTGCCTGGTTGGAAGCTTCACTAGGGCTAGTGCCACATCATCGTGGAGTCAACAGCCCAGTGGCAGATCTCAGCTCTGCCCACCTTGCTCCAGGACCAGACAAGCACATCCTCACTGCTGCTGCTGCTCTGACTGTGTGTCCCATGGAATCCCCCATTAGCCAAGAGGGAATGGCAGGGAAGTGGTGCAATCAGAACTCAGACCCAACCCCTTTGACCGAAAACAGAGCTCTTTGTGTGGTCCTACAACGACCTAACCAGAGCACTTCCTGCGGGTGGGATTTGCACTTCCCCTGCACCCTCAAGCTTTTGCACACTGTGCTTGCTCAACCCCACTGGGGATCAGGGCCTGGGTGATACTTGGGCCTCTCATATTGATCCCTGTCTTGGCCATTCTCGGTTCCCAAGAACTGGGGACAGTGGTCTATCCACCACTGGCCATTAGTAGCATCTCTGGCCTCTTTCCTGGTGGGGGCCTTTCCAGGACCAACATGTACCTCTGTTGTATCTGTGCTCACAGTGTCTGAGGGTCACCATGGTTTGGAGGCAGTGGCTGCCTGGGTCTCAGTCCTGAGAAACAAGCAGAAAATGGACCAAAATGTAGTGTGTTCTGAGGACAGGATCAGTGCAGTTGGTTTCCTACATTTCTCATAACACAGATGATGGTTTTATAACCAAAAGAACTAACAGCTGTACTGTTCTTGGGTTTAGGAGGCAGGTGTGTGTGTGTGGGGGGGGGGGGGGGGGCGCAGAAGGGTGTCTGAATTGAAGAGAATGGGAGGTTCCACAGTAGCCACCAGGAAGTGTTTGGGTAGCTCCCATGCCGTAAGCAGCCAACTTTTAATGCCTTGTGTCCCCATTTCAGCTCACCAACCACCAGGAGCTATGGGCCTTCATTGTAACCAACCTGGCGAGTGTGTATATACGGGAAGGAAATAGACACCAAGAGGTAGTAGGTGACATGCTTCATGTTTGGTATCCTTTCTTTCAACTCTTACTCAGGGGCTAGGGTGGGAGGTGTCCTGGGCACCAGCAATCTCAGCAGCCCCAGCGTATCTATCCTTAGAGTGTAGTGTGGCTGAGGGAGGCCACATCTGGGGGAGAAACAATCCTTGGCTAAGTAACACTTCTCCCTGCTAAAAACAAGCCAAGCTTTGTTAAATCTCCCAGAACACATTTAGTTTCTTCTTTGCTGAGCTTTCTGTTGTAGAATCACAGTGAGACCTCTTGGACCATGCACTGTGACCCCCTCACCTGGCATAGGGCAGGGTAGGCTGAGGGTGCAAGGACCCTGCACCAGACCCTTCACACTGGAGGCTGATTCCCATGGGGGTGTGAGGAAGTGAGCAACCCATACAGTGTCTTTTAGTTACTTCACCTGCTCTAGATCCTGCCCCTCTACCAGCAGGTTGCCCAGGCGTGGGATTCAGGATGAGGACTCAACGCTATCAGGAAGTTGCAGGCAGCCCTGATCAATTTACTAGCATAGTTGGGGCCAAACTCTCTCACATTTAGAAATGCAGAGTGATCCCAACTGACATTTCCTTTGCAGTTATACAGCTTGTTGGAGAGGATCAACCCAGACCACAGCTTCCCTGTCAGGTACATGGCCCCACACTGAGGTCCTACTTTACCATTGCCTGTCTTATGTATTTTCTGCTCTCTGGGGTAGTGCCACCACCTATGGGGCCCCTGACTGCCCTGTTACTACCAATACCTTGCACCATCACTTCTACCACCATCGCCCACTCCCCTTTTGTAGCCCTGCTATATTTACAAACCCACCAAATTATGACGCTTCACTCTCCCCCCGCAGCTCTCACTGCCTTCGAGCAGCGGCTTTCTACGTGCGTGGGCTCTTCTCCTTCTTCCAGGGACGCTACAATGAGGCCAAGTGAGTGCTATTGAGGGCGGGCAGCCTGGGCTGGCCCTCTAGGTGGGCTTCTCCCTGGCAGCTTATGCTCAGCCCCTCTGTGCCCCAGCCAGGCGGGTTCTGCTCAGGGCTGAGAGGCTGCTGCTGCCTCTTTCTCCCCCAGAGCCATTTCACTGGGGCCTCAGTCTGTTCCCCTCATGTAGGCGATTTCTGCGAGAAACTCTGAAGATGTCCAATGCAGAGGACTTGAACCGGCTCACAGCCTGCTCTCTGGTGCTTTTGGGCCACATTTTCTACGTGTTGGGGAACCACAGGGTGAGTGCCCAGGCCAGGCTGAGGGACAGGGCCAGCATGGTACTTGGGGGGTCACCATCAAGCAGTGCTTTGCATCCTGTGCCCCTCGATTATCTTGTCTCAGTGACACCCTTCCCCCAGCCCTCTTTGCTTCATGAGGCTTGGCAAGGGCGGAGGTGCTCTGGCTCACACAGCCTGGGGGGCAGGCCCGGGGAACTTTGGGTCCCTGGAGGGTAGCCCTATGGGGCAGACAGACCCAGTGCTTGGTTGGGGCTTCCTGGAGCTGGGAGGGCTAAGGCAGGTTCCCGTTTGTGTGTGTTAATACCTGGGATGGAGAGTGTCCCCATAGTCAGAATCCCTTGGGTTCTGTTTCTGCCCAGCACACATGGTGTCCTCAGGTCTCCTGTTTTCACTCTCACCTAGAGTGGCCCCTGGGGCTGGTTCTGGTGGGATTGGCACTCCCGGTCTCCCCATCAGTTGTGCATCTTCGCCTGCTCTCACCCATTGACCTCACAGACCTTTAATTTTTTAACAAAAGCATTTGTCCATATTACAAAATATGACATGTTTATCGTAGAAGCTCTGAGAAGCAAAGTTGGAAATCATAGCATGACCTCTGTCTTCTGGATTTTTTCATTGCTCGCCCCTGCCCACCCATAGGTTTTGTTTCTCAGGATGTTTTATAGTTTTACATCTTGTCTTTCCCTACACCACTGTATTAGAGCTTTTTTAACAGCAGCAAGAATTTTGAAGCAGCATCTACTCCATAACTTAGCCAACCTCACTTGAGCTGTTTTCACAAGACAGGTGACACAGGTCAGGTGTCTTGACCTTTAAAGTTCCATCTGACCAAACCCCGGAGCTCCCTAAAAACTAGCTTTTTAATTTTTACTTTTTATTTTATTTTATTTTTATTTTATTTTATTTTATTCCAGAGAGGAAGGGAGAGGGAGAAAGAGAAACATCAATGATGAGAGAAAATCATTGATCAGCTGCCTCCTGCATGCCCCCTACTGGGAATCGAGCCCACAATCCAGGCATGTGCCCTTGACTGGAATTGAACCCGGGACCTTTCAGTCCACAGGCCAACGCTCTATCCACTGAGCCAAATCAGCTAGGTCAAAAATTAGCTTTTTAAATGAGCCTGGCTGGTCCTCCTCCCCACAACTGTGTGACAAGTGTTTGCCAAGGCTAACTGGCCCTGCTGCTCAGGTACTGATGGCCATGGCTGGGGATGTTACCGCCCCCAAAGAAAAAGGATGACCTCTGGGTTCTTCCTTCTGAGTGCAGCTCTGCTTCTTCTTTAACATTCTGTCACCCTGCCCCTCAGCCTCTAAGCACAGTGAGGACAGTGACCTGTGTGTGTGTCTAGGGCAACCGTGGGCAAACTACGGCCCGCGGGCCGGATCTGGCCCGTTCGGCTGTTCTGTCCGGCCCGCGGAGCCAAAAGAGCGGAGGGTTCTCTTGCTCTCCCCTCCGCTCCTTCACCAGCAGCAGTGTTAACATGGCAACGTCGGGAAACACGGCCGCAGCTCCTTCTTCTGAGTCCAGTTTAAGAACCCATTGTGGCCCTCGAGTCAAAAAGTTTGCCCACCCCTGGTCTAGGGGAAGCATGAAGCCCCACTGAGTACAGGCTGTGTGCCTGTGTCTCAGTGTGGTAGCTTTAATGACCTCATGTCCAGATGGGGAGATGAAGGTCACAGCCTCAAACTGCAGATCCAGGTTTAGAACCAAACCTTCCTGGCTCATCTATTTATAAATCTCCAGAAGCCACCTTGTGCAGGAAAAGGTGGGCAAGGCAGCTCTTTAGCTGCATCTCTGGTTCATGTTTTGAATGATCTTGGGCTCTGAAGTAGAAGTAGGAGTGTGCCAGGCAGCAGGAGGAGGGCATAGCCTGGGCTAGGTTTGACAGGTGGGCCTGAGCTGTCCCTGCGCCTCCCCCACTCCCTGGCTGCTCTTGGTCCACAGGAGAGTAACAACATGGTGGTGCCCGCCATGCAGCTGGCCAGCAAGATCCCGGACATGTCAGTTCAGTTGTGGTCGTCAGCCCTGCTGAGAGGTGAGTATGGCAGCTGGCCCTTCCCAGAGATCAGAGATGCTGAGTAAGCCCTGCTTGGCCTTTGCTCAGACTGGCCTCTACATGCCACAGCCCAAGTTCTAGCATTCCCAGTTTCTCAGGAGGCCATTTGAAGGCAGTGGTCACTGGACTCAGTCATGGCATCAGCTCAAAGTAGGACCTGTGAGGCTGATTCTTGGCATCTGGGTGAAGACTTGGACTGTGAGCCCTTGTGCTTATCCTTATCCCATTGGCAGGACTGGCTGGGATGCTCTTGGTGCAGGGCGGGGGCTCAGCAGGTGGCTGCTCCCCTATTTACAGAGACTTGCCCTAGGCCCTGAGGAGGAGGCAGTGGATTTTGTGGACTTGTTCAGTTCTCCTGCCTCAGAAGTGGGTGTTGGGTGCCCTGCTCTAGCCAACTCCTGTTTGCAGAGGGACCTTCGTTGCCCAACCAGCCTCTGCGTGGGCCCCGCTGATCACCCATGTTAAGGACATGGCACAGAAACTCAGGAGGGCATTGCGAGGGCTGCTGGCAGGTGGATTTAACTGACCCCAAGACAGGGCTCAAGGCCAGTGATTTGCCAGGTGCACAGGAACCCAATGGTGGAGCCGGGGTGTTGTTTTTTTGCCTCCCGCACGTGCTCCAGCCAGGGCCAGGGAATGAACCTGCAACCCAGGTATGTTCCCTTGACCGGGAATCAAACCTGTGACCCTTTGGTGTGTGGACCGGCGCTCTAACCACTTAGCACTACCAGCCAGAGCTGGAGCCTGGGTTTGCCCTTAGGGCTCCACCTATACCCAAGGGGAGGGCCGTGGGGTTGGTGGCAGGCTCACCCATGTGTGTCTTACCCTCAGACCTGAACAAGGCCTGTGGGAATGCCATGGATGCCCACGAAGCCGCCCAAATGCACCAGAACTTCTCTCAGCAGCTGCTCCAGGACCACATCGAGGCCTGCAGCCTCCCCGAGCATAACCTTATCACGGTATAGGCACGAGGTGTGGGAAGACAGAATGGGGGTGGTGGTTGGCTCCTCGGGGCTGGCTTACCTTGCGTGCAGCCCTTCAGGGTGTGGGGCACACTTCCTGAAGAGGAAGTATATGCTTGGCTGCCATCTCCAGCAATTCCTAACTGAGCCTCATCTCAGGAGCCCCTTGGATGTGGGAAATGGTACTAGTCACCCACGCAGGTGATTCAGAAGGACTTCACTTGTGTGTTCTCTCTTCCTGCAGTGGACAGATGGCCCGCCGCCTGTGCAGTTCCAAGCTCAGAATGGACCCAACACCAGCCTGGCCAGCCTCCTTTGAGACCCCTGGAGGGGACCACCCAGCTTCTCAAGGCCTCCGTGGGGCCTAGTGTGTCCCTGACTTCCACACAGACAGCACTCGCGCTTTCCTCTGAGGCGTGCTGGCATGGTGTCCCCAGGCTTCTTTCCCAGAGCTTCCAAGTCCCCGGGGAGTGTGCAGGGCCAATTCCCACCCTCCCAGGAAGGGCTGGCCAGCTTTACCGCTGTGAATCAGGACCCTGGTGCTGAGGCTTGCAGGTGGAACGTTGGAGCCAATTTTTCAGAGCCATCCTTTCAAGTGGACTTGAACTGCCAGTCCTACTACAAGTTACACTTTCCTGGGACTGTATCTGGATGGGGAGTGCCAGGATGGGCAGCACCACTGAGGCATTGCCACGTGACTTCCATTGCCTGAACTTCTGTGCCAGGCTGGAGTGTTTCCTCTGCTCTCACAGCAGCTTCCAGAGCTTAGAGGCAAGATGCCAATTTCTGGCCAAAAATTGAAAGGAAGAAGTGAGGATGCACATCAGGGACAAAAATGCATGTCCTGCTACAACACTTTTCCCAGCTTGCCTTTCTCTCCAGCGTCCATCCTTCTGACAACTAGTGCCTCTGGTCAGGGGACCCATGAACTCGCCTTCCAAACATCTGTACCTTGACTGGATCACTGTCTGGCCATGGGGGTGCACATGCTGTAAACATGGGTGTGCATGTGTGTGCATACTGTAGACAAGTGTGTGTGTGCATGTGCAGTAGATACAGGTGTGTGTGTGTGTGTGTGTGTGTGTGTGCGCGCGTGCATATGTGCACATGCATGTGTGTTGATTCTCAGAGCTGGAGCTGGAGCTGAGACTCCTGTGTTTGCACCAGCTGCCTTCCCCCATCAGTGTCTGTATTGTGGGGTAGGAAGCAGGGGAAAGGGGAGAGGACCCTCCTCAGTCCAACTCAGGGTGCTGAACGAAGGCAGCTCTGTGGCCTCGTCTGCAGAGGATATTTGCAGATGTCTGGAGCCCAGCCAACCTGGCCCTTGGGAGGGAGGACTACCTACCGTGGGTCTCGGCACAGCATTGAAACCTCTTCCCAAGCTGGAACCCTCCCTCCCCCCCAGGAAGTTCTGCCAGGCTCAGACAGTGTGCTTGATTCTGTGCTCCTCTTGGATACTCTAGGAGGTGCCCCAGTGATGATGGTGGGATTGGGGGCAATCAAGGCAGCCTCCCCCTCCAACTTCTGGCACCTGGGGGCAGCTCCCCACTGAGGGGTGGTGAGTGGTCTTGCTGGTCAGAGTGGCTTGTTGGTTTGTGTCTCATTACCCTTGCACTGTGAAGGCTGCTTCTCGAAGCCTCTGTCTGTGATGGAAGGAACGTTAGGATATGGGATTACTCAGGTAGCTACTTGGGCTCTGAGCCTGGGTGTGCCTTAGCCACAAGCAGGACTCTTAGCAGATCACCCTGCACTGGGCCACTGCCCTCACCAGGCCTGTGACAGGGCCCTGCTGCCCACTTGGGGGCCAGTGACAGGCATGCAGGTGAGTCACCAGTTAGAGGGGCAGGCTTTCCAGGGCTTGTCCCAAGAGGACCTACCATCCCTGTGTTGCCCAGGAGAACCTGGGTGTTCAGCGCTGCTCCCTCTGCTGACACCCCTGAGTGTGTGAGGCCTGTGGAGGAGGGTGTAAGCCCAGTCATAAGCTGTCCCCATTCTGTCTTCCTCCTCCATCAGGGGCCTTCCCCTCCACTCAAGGGATGGAGCCCCCATCTCGCCATAAGCTGCGCCTACCAGCCTGGATCCCACACTGTCTAACTTCTCTGTATCCACATTAGTTCAATTGTTGCACATGTTTGTCTCTGTGTATTTATTTAAGCCTTTCTTTGCTTCTAGGGCATTTTGTATGTAGAACAATTTAAATAAGAACCTCAAAACTTAATGTCTGTTCCGATGTTAAAGTGCTTTTAGTGACCACTCTGTTATCTATATGTGTGTGTAAAGTTAAGGATAAGTTCTTAAGTTTACAATGAAAAATTCAGTACTCAACATTTAATATTCCACTTAGCTTTATGGGAGCCAAACCGTGTGTATGGTTTTGAACCTCCCTTTAATGCAGCATCTACCAATAACATCAGGCTGTCATACATACCTTTCTGTGAGTCCACATTGAGTGTCTCACAGTTTCTCAATCATAAGAATTTAAGACAGGTAGCAAGTGAGCCACCAGAGAGATGTTGCATAAGTGTCATATAGCTAAATGTTTGAAAAAATAACATAAAAATTCCAAACTCTTGGGCACACAGTAATAGCAGGATTTCGTTGGCAGGTCAATTGCTAAAAATTGGTCAGACCCTCATGTGCTCTCCCCACCTCCTCCTGTTAATAGAAGTGGCCCTGGGCTTGCTGGTCTGGGGTGCTGGTCCTGGAGGTGCTCCCAGGTTCCCTCGAAAACAGCTGCCTCCTGCAGGTGGCCACAGGCATGGTGAGGGTCCTCTCCCTGGGGTAAATACTCCCTATCCCACTGACTGAGAGCACAATTGAGTAAGGGCTGCCTGGCACAGTGGATATGCTTGTGGTTGCATTGTTTGTTTTGTTAAAGGGTTTTTAATAAGTATGTTTGGCATAATATCTTTTTAACGGGTTTGTAATATGGTTTTAGCAGCCTGTAACTTCACTGGTGCTTTTAATCAGGAAAACAAATCTATAAATGCAAAACATTGTTTAAAAGACATAACTATACAATATAGCTTCTTGTTTGTGGATTTCTTTTTCTTTGTATTCAAAGTAAAATCACTTGCAGTAGCTATCACTCACTGTGTCCTTGTCCTGCCTTCTGCCCTAATCCTGCACCACCGGACAAGCTTTTGCCTGCCCTACCCAGCCAGCAGGGCTCTAGGGACTTATATTAACCCACCAGGTGTGAGGGTGCAGAGCCCATACTGGACTGGAGGACCTGGTGGAAACCTGAATCTTCCCCTCTGCTGATGATGTTCCACTGGTCCAGCCCTGCCTTGAGGGGAGGGAAACCCTGAGACATCCCAGGCAAGGCCTCCTGAAGCACTGTCTGTTCTTCCATGGCCCTCAACACAGACTTTTTCACACACCTTGACCAGCCTCCATTTTCCTGGGGAGTTCTTTCCAGGTGTTTTTATGTAAAGGACACAAAATTAACCATTTATGTTCACAATTTCAGTGGTATTAAATATTCACAATGTTGTACAACCAGTACCTCTTTCTAATTCTAGAACTTTTTCCACCACCTGAAAAAGAGACCCTTGATCCCATTAGCAGTCACTCCCCATTCCCTCTCCCACTCCTGATAACCACTAATCTGCTGTTTATGGATTTGCCTGTTCTGAGCATTTCATATAAATGGGATCATATAGCCCTAGCTGGTTTGGCTCAGTGGATAAAACATCCGCCTGTGGACTGAGGGGTCCCAGGTTCGATTCCAGTCAAGGGCACATGCCCAGGTTACAAGCTCCACCCCCTGTAGGGGGCATACAGGAGGCAGCCGATCAATGATTCTCTATCATTGATGTTTCCATCTCGTCCTCTCCCTTCCTCTCTAATATCAATAAAAAATATATATCTTAAAAATAAATAGGATCATATAACAGTTGGCCTTTTGTGTTTGGCTTCCCTCATTTAGCATATTTTCTAGGTTTATCCATGTTGCAGTGAATCAGCGCTTCATTCCTTTTTATGACTGAGTAATGTTCCTTGTGTGGGTGGGCATTTTGTTCATCTTTCATCTATCAATGGTGTTTGGCTACTTCCCTCTTGTGGCAAATGTGAGTAGTGCTGCTGTGGGTGTGCTGTACATTTTTGTTTAAACAAGTGTTTTCGATTCTCTTGGGTTGTGCCATGTTTGTTTGTTTTTTCCAATCCTCAGCAAAGGATATGTTTTGTTTACTGATTTGAGAGAGAGAGAGAGAGAGAAACATTGATTGACAGGGATCAAACCTGCAACCTAGATATGTGTCCTGACTGGGAATTGAACCTGCAACCTTTTGGTGCATGGAAGGATTCTCCAAGCAACTGAGCCATCCAGCCAGGGCTGTGCCATGATTTTAACTTGCAGGGATGGTGCTGAGCTGCCACCTCTGCTGCATTGAAGCCCTCCAGTCATTCCTGCACTGTGAGGTGGTGCCCAGGTGGCCTAAACTGCTTGCTCCCGGGGGCACATCTGAGGACTCCTTTGGGCCATGGTCCTGGGGCCAAACTGCTGGCCAGTGGATGTGTGGGTGATTCACCCCAGCACAGTAACCCTGCCATCCCCACCATTGAGATCTGGCTGCCTCTGCCCCGACCCTGCCAACCTGGCTCAGGCAACTTCTTCACTTGGGGTAGGCTCTGGCTGTCGGCTGGATGTCATTTCCTCCCTGTAAGCCTCACAACCCCTATGCAGAAAGTGTGTCCTGAGCTCAGTCAACCAGAACATTGCCATAAGCCCATAGTGGAACCGGCAGGCTGGTCCTGAGATGGCTGCTGTTACAAGAAGTGATCCTTGACACAAGAAGTCACCTTGGCCCTGGCCAGCTAGGGACCTGGGAACCTCACCAACACATGGAAGTGAGTGACTTGCCCATAGAAAGCCTCCAAAGTCATCTCACTCCCGTTGTCCATGTAGTTTCAGGAACCCAGCACCTGAGAAGATGTTTTGGTAAGAAGATTCCTAGTGGCCACCTCATGTCTCCAAGCAGGCCTCGCAGACAACATCGCAGAGCCTGTTGCCAGCCAGGTCTGCTGACAGAGCATGACTAAGTCTGGACCCCCATCGCTCATACACGTGGGGGACATATGTGAGGAACTCGGGCAGAAGCCATCAGGATGACATTCAGGGAAGGTCCTGAGGCAGGAGATGCAAGAGGATGGTGAGAAGGAACCAGACAGGATAGGCCCACATGCCAAGAAACCTGCCTATTGTGGCCAAGCAGTTGGGCTCAGGTGGGGGCAGCAGGACAGTGCCCTGGAATGCTGCTGAGGAGGCAGGACCTCTTCCAATTAACCAGTACTTGCCAGAGAAGTTTCCACAAAATACCAGATGTTGGTGAACAAGGAGTAGCTGCTGTGGTCGTAGAGTTTTGGGAACCTCTAGTAATTCCAAACAGGTTCTTTCTAGCAGGACTGGTCAGCACAAAGGGACACTGTTTAAAGAAGTCCTTGGTATCTGCAGGACAGACTTGGGAAGTGGATGACAGGAGGTGGCCATGGGACTGGGAGGAGGACAGGAGTGGGCCTCTTAGAGGCCAGGAGGTAGCCAAAGCAGCTAGCTGAGCATCAAATGGCTGGGGCGGGGATCATAATTCGTCTTTGACACATACAAACCCCAGTCCTCAGAAATCTGCTGGTTACCCTGCCCATTCGTGGCCATTTCTGACACCCATCCCTTAGCCCCCGTCATACCTCCTACCTGGATGTCGTCCAGCCTATTTCCTGAATAGTCAGAGAACATTCTGTGCTCCCTCCCACCTGTCCCCTGTCAGGGGTACTCTCCCTGTAGCTGCTCAGCATCACCTGGAACACCCTGGCCAAGGCCTGGCAAATGGTGGGCAGGTCCATGGGGAAGCCCAGGAGAGAGCACATGGTGCAACTCCAGGCAGGTTCAGCAGATGCCACATGGACAACTGTCCGAGCTGCATCCACACACCCAGCCACAGTAGCCAGGCTCCCTCCAGAAATACCAACAGGACCTTGCTGTTTTGCAAGGGAGCCGGGACCTCACTCACACCCTGGGCTGATAGGCTCCAGGGGGTCTGGAAATTGAAAATGTCCATGAAAAAGAGAAAAAAAAAATAAAGACAATGTTCATGATATGTATTGGCTTCACCCTTTGGCCTCTTTGAGCTTTGGGTTTATATATCCCCACAAAGAAAGCTATTCAGGGAAAGGCAGGTAGTCCTGCCTCTGTGGTCCAGTCTGTTTAACATCTGACATCACTTCCTTGATTTGAACTTCACCAGCCTCTTCTCCCAACACAACCCCAGTTAGCTCAGAGTTTGGACGGGTCACTGATGCTGGAGTGAGAGGGTGGGATGCCCACCCCATCTGGGACAAGGGAGCTGGATCCTGATGGCCCTGGAAGCCCTACTCTGCATCCCCATCCACCCACCCGCTAGGAGGGGGCTGCTATGGTCCCCAGGGAGGCAGAGAGGAGGAGGAGGATTGCTGACAAATTTAAATGTTTATTTCACCCAAATTCATGCTTACATGGTAAGATTATAGTACAATTGGTTTGGAGAGGAAAGGAAATGATTTGTTTCTATATGAATTTGATTTCCTCAGTACTTTGATATTTTTAACACTTTTTTCAAAGACCAGAAAATAGTTAAAGGGACTGTTACAGTGATGCTTCATGAAAAATACTATGGCTACTACAACAAATGTCACTTTTAAAAACATGACCTTTTTAACTTGTGGAAAACAGATCAGTGCCCCTTTGCCCCATCCCTGTCCTGTATGCTGAAAAGCTCTCAGCCACACAGCTCTCTGGAGATGTGCCACTTTGTCAGTTGTGTGTTAGCTTTGTTCTAAGTGTCATTTCTTTTTTTTTTTTTTTTAAATATATTTTATTGATTTTTTACAGAGAGGAAGGGAGAGAGATAGAGAGTTAGAAACATCGATGAGAGAGAAACATCGATCAGCTGCCTCCTACACATCTACTGGGGATGTGCCCGCAACCCAGGTACATGCCCTTGACCGGAATCGAACCTGGGACCCTTCAGTCCGCAGGCCGACGCTCTATCCACTGAGCCAAACCGGTTTTGGCCTAAGTGTCATTTCTAACCCCTATCCCTACACTTAGTGTCTGTGCAATGCGGAGTTCAGACTCCACCTGCAGTTAGGTGTGCTCTGCCCAGAGCGAGTGTCTGTGTGGCCCTGAAGAGGTCCCGCTACGACACAGTTCTGAGCGCAAATGCTCCCTCAAGGGTTAAGTACAAAACTGCTCACAAGTGTCATGGTGAACCGGAAGTGTATCTCCCACACTATCTTCCTCTGCTTGGTTCACCAGTTGCTGTCAGCGACCTGGCCTGCTCCAGGCGTGGCCACCAGGGGGTGCCAGCAGTCCATGCAGCGTCCGCACCAGGGAGGGAGGGCAGGACATGGTCAGACCTCACTGTGACCAGACTGTCTTTATCTGCGGGGATGTGGGATGACCTGCACTTCAGGGCCACTCAGTTCCTCACCTGTAACTCTTGGGGTGGGAGATGCAGGTTCTAGGGTTCTCCTGGTGTCAGGGCTACACCATTTCCTCACTTACTCGCCAAATACTTGCCTGGCACCTAGGGACACAGCAGGAACCACATCAAAGTCCCTGCCCTCAGGGAGTGGACATTCTACCAGGAGCCTGACGATGGGCCTCAAATAGGAGTGCGCACTGTAAAGAGGGATAACCAAGGGGCGTGTGGGAGATGTGGTGACAGGACAGAGAGGAAACCTCCCCTGGCCAGGCTGCAGAGCTGGATGTTTCAAACATCTGCTACATGGCCACCAAGATGGGTTTCTGAGGAATGCTGTGCCCACTTCTTCAAGGCCAACTATCTGAGCCTGGGGCTGCCAGCACTATGTAGGACTGAATGGTGGCAGAGGCATGGGTCAGATAGTGATATTGACAAAGACAGGGTCGCTGACCCACCTATAACATGGAATTCAATAGCAGGTACCCAGAGACCAGGGCATTTCTGACATTGGCCAGGGCAGTGGCTCAACTTGGCCCCAACTACAAACCAGATGCCTCAGAGCCAGATGCCCAATCTGAGGGCCCATAACCCCCTGACCAGCAGCCACCATGCTGTTTCCTGAGCC